AAAACACTGAGAGGTCAAGAAAACCCAACTAGGTTGCATTCCTAATACTTCTCTCCCTATATAGCTCATCCAATAGGTTTCACAACCAAGACTTGAAACTAGATCAAAACAAAACTATAATCTGCTTCTTCCAAGAGCATCTGCAGTTATGTAGCTACCACCTTCTAAATTCCCTTCACCTGAAAGGAGAACTATTTTTTTTATTTATACACCCCTTATATTCAGCAACTTTTCATTCTTTAAGGATGAAGTTACCGTTCAACCTGTTCAGCTAATCTTCTGAAACTTGATTAACTCAGCTGTGATGTGTGGAAGTTGAGTTGAGATACAGTCTAACACAAGTTTCTTGTCCATATTCTCAGGTCAAAAGAACATAACAGAGAAGTCCAAATCTTAGATGTACATAAAAATATGTTCTAGCCCAATTGAAGAATTGGCAGAACAGAACTTGAAAGTTGTCTGGCTAACTTACCTGGTGATTTATACTGCTAACAAGTTCAAACAGGTGCCATTAATACAGGTAATGAGTGGAGGACAGAGGAGCCTCTTAAAGAAGAAGTTACATGTCTGTGAGAGCCAGAAATCTTGTTTGTAGGTGACCAAATACTTATTTTCCACCATAATTAGCAAAAAAATTCTTTCCAAGTCAGACAATGTGATTGTCTGGATTTGTTTTCTGATTTTGTCACTCATAGTTGAGGTCTGCCTATGATGTCAATTACAGGCCTCTCTCATCTTTTTAAGTGGGAGAACTTGCACAATTGGTGGCTGACTAAATACTTTTTTGACCCACTGTATGTCTGATAAACAAACCTTTATATTATAAATCAACCTGCATCAATGATGCCAACCCTTTTTAAAGTGCAGAACAGCCATTCAATAATGTATAATCAGTTGGCTGACAGTAAAAGGTTGGTTTCCCATTAGAAATTGAATTGACTCACTGCTGTTCCGTCTTGCCAAAAACTCTGTCCCACATGTTGCTCTGAGCTGAATCATTGAGAGGGAGAGAGAATTATCTTTGGCTTTTCAAAGACTTCAATTATTTCTTTTTTCATATTTTTCCTAGTAGAAAACATGCAAGCAAATAGAGCTGAGCAATTAGAGCTTAGCAGGAGCAAGTAAAGATGTATGAATGGAACAGTTTTCAATACGACAGCTGAAATCATAAACTGATCTTCTTCTCTTGGCCTGGCAATGGAGCTTAAGGACAGATCCTAAGAATATTCCAGGTCACACTCTTGTTCAAGCTGACAGCAATGAGAACACATTGAGTATGACCTTTTTCCCTGTCTTCCTCCTGGAAAACCCCTTCTCTTTCAAAAGATGCATTGTCTTTCCTCTACATAGCCATCTATCCTAAGTGCTCATATATAAGAAACATAGAACCTTCCTAAAGTGATCTCAAACTTTTATTAGGCTAGTTTTAAAGGGCAGTGTTCATCTCTAGTAACTTGTTTTGCATTATTTCTCTGAGAATAGTTAAATCAGTCTTAAGTAAATTAAATGTACATTCATTCTCTAAATTAAAGGTTTGGATAGCAAATACCATTCAAGTATTTTTCATGGGTATGTATTATAATGCATGTATTAAATTTGCATCCTTCCTCTCCTCCTGGAGGTCAAATAGGATGCAAAAAATTGCAGTATTCTCATCTGCATTGTCCCCACAACAACAGTCTTGTGGGACGGGCTGAGAGACAATGACTTGCCCCAAAGCTTTCACTGTGCTTCAATGGCTGGATGTGAATCTGGTTCTTCCCATTCTTGTCCAACAGGTTAGCAAATACTTTGTAAATATTTTTCCCCTGCAAGCAATCATAAACTGCTCCACATAGAATAAATTGTCCTATTTTCAGCATTGTCAGATATAATACATCTGCAACTCGGAAATAAGAAAAAAAGGAGACATTTTTGCCAAATGGAGGTAAACCATTAAACTAGTTAATAAAGATCAGGCAAAAAACAAGATAGAAACATTTCCTTGGCAATGAAGCTAATGAAAATGCACAAGCCATGCATATGAAGAAAACTCTTAGCATATGGAAAGGACAAGCAGAAAATTGAAGATACTTGGTTCTATGCAAGAAATATTTTGTTGGGGAAGCTATAATACTTTATTCAATTTGTACATCTACATTTATGGTCTGTCAGAGACTGCAAAAAACTCTAATTTTTCTGGCCTTTGTTTGTATGACTGTTGCTGCTTTGGTTCTGTAGGCATTCAATTCCTTAACTTGGTAATTACAATAACTTCTAATTTTGCATAGTAGAATAGTATGTACTGTTTACTGAAATTTTAAAATATTTTTGCATACTCAAATTACTTACTTAAAAAAATTACATGGCTATTTTATAAATGATAATCCTAGGCAATTCAAAATAGTAATCTAAGCTCACAAAATCCCCAAAGAACTATACTTCTCATGACAGCATCACAAATTTCCACCAACTCTCCGTTTGCTGGGTTCACTTCCATCTCAGTCTAATCAAGTGAACAACTAAGTCTTCACAACTCTTGAGAGGCTAATAGAGGGGTTCTTTGAATCTTAGGGGGCAAAGGATTGGGGCAGCCTCAGAAAAGTTGTTTTTACCAGATGACACCATTTAATAAAAAAAACACTGGAACTGATTTGGTGGGGTGAGCAAATTTCCTCAGAGAGACGCTATTCTGTAGAACATGGCCTCATGTCATTCAGAGCTTTAACCTGCAGCTTGAATTGCATCTGGAAATGAACTGGAAGCTAATGCAGTTCATGCAACTGTGGTGTGACATGAGCATATAATGAAATATGGTCTTCAATAGCAGCCACATGTAGAGCATGTCACAGTAATCTACAGAGTGGTGACAATAAATAACTATGGCTAGGAGCAGTGTGAAAGATTGTAAGCAAATCCCCCCTTAGCCACAGCTGCCCCTGCTCCTACTCTTGTTCAGTATTTTCCTTATGAAATATTTGTTGATGCTGACATTAGATATTGATACTTAGGTACTTGTTTATGATCTCATGAATACTGGATGTCAGCCTCTGTTTTGTTGCTTGCTTTTCCGCTGCCATTGAAAGGGGGGGCATGGTATTTGGGTGTGGGAAATATTCTGTACAGGAGAGACTGTAAGAAGGGAGTTGTTCTCACCATCTACTGCACATGTGGCGGGGAGAGGAGTTTCCCGCCAAGGCCAACTGTCCAGCATACCAACCTGATGATGGTTTTTGAAGATGTCTCCTACATGACACCTGTGGAGTAATTGGGCTGGGGTTACCAAGGGGAGGGGAATGGGTCATACATTGATATCTATGCTTGCGCGCGCTTTTATCTCAGATCCAGCTTTGCTTAGCTTCTATTTACCAGCTTCTATTTAGCTTCTATTTACTATTAACCAGTAAAAGTACTCTTAATTCTGCAAAATGGAGTTGAGTGGTTTCTTTCTTGGTTATTAAGTGAAGCAGCCCTGACATTAAGCTGGATCTGAGAACTGGATCCATCCCTAGGAACAATAAGTGTTGTATTTTCTCCATTTGTACAGTATCTGCCTTATTGTTGATTAATGGAGGCCAAAATCTTTAGCAAGAATTTGGCAGCTCTTTCCAGCCTCATGAACATCAACATGAAGACTGCCTGCATCTCTTTTGACTGAGGCAAGATTCAGTTCTACAAACATATGAAGAGCAGATCCAGTGATGACAATGTTTGTTTTATAGGGAAGGATCCCTTAAATTCCTATTGCCTCACTCACTGAAACTTGATTCAATGTATCTCTAAGACAGCTGATTATCCTAAGGTTTCACATATCTTTTCCAACAAAAACAGTGAATGCTGGCTTAGCATGTTCAATAAAGACACAGTACACTGTTGCAAGAATCTCTACTAACAGGATGAAGCTCTAAACACACTGTGAGTCACAATATTGCAGGGATATGAAAAGGCACCAATTTCATCTCAGGACTGTATACCTAAAAAAATACCTAAGTGAAAATTCCACACACACATTGCCCCCAACTATCAATACACAATGGCAATCAACAGCACCCGATAATATTCTCCCACAAGTGCAGAAAAGGCTGCAGTTATCAATGTCTTATTTCTTCTTTCTAAAAAAACATATGGAATTTCAATGCTCACACAATCCTTTACTGTAGCTGTTCCACTTGTAATTGAGCAAAACCTGCACCCAAAATACGTAAAGGCAACCCTTAATAATATACCTTGGTTTTCCCTTTATGATGCCAGAAGCAGACTGAAAGAGTATATAGGTCATGATCTTTCTGAATGACCTTGCTTTAGCCAAGTGATCACAACTCTCCTCCCTATCCTTCAAACTGAGATTCAGTTTGGATTTTCCTTGGCAGGTTCCCCAATACTATTCCGGCCAGCCCTCTCTACTTTCATCTGCATCCACTCTTCTTCCCAACCCCTGAAAGGTGCTGAAATAAGCCGGGTAGCTGCCAGAGACACCTGAAGAGGAGCGGGTGAGAGTGGGAAGAATGGCCGGGCAGTTGCCCTCCATCTGTGCCCTTTCCCTGTAAAGCAAGGAGGCAAGGCGGGGCGGAAGGAGGCAGCCGATCCCCTTCGGGGCACCTCGGGTCAGTGTTTGCCTCTTGCAGCTGAACTCCCAAGAAGCTGCGGCGGGCGGGAAGGACGTCCCCATGCCCCTTCCCTGCCAGGGATCACCTGCGCGCTCGTTCACCTTGGCAGCCGCGTTCAAAGTCGCGTGGCCGCCGCCACCTTGACACCCGCTCAGCTGCCGGGCGGCCGCGGTAACTACCCGCGTACAGATCATGGAGGCGGCCATGATCGACCTCCTTCATGCGGGCCCCCGCCGCTCCCGAGAACAGTACCGCCCGCCCGGCGCCTGCGCAGAAATACAGGAACCGATCCGAAGGCAGCCGAGTCCTCTTGGTGCGTTTATTCTTCTTCCTGCTCTAGGGAGGAAGCGGAAGCCACTGGCGGAGACACAGTGGTCCTGCTTGGCGCCGCGTAAGACGTTTTGAACCCTTTGGGCTTTATTTCGGGGCCGCGTTACCCTGAAAGCGCTCAAGTTGGTGCTTTGATGCCCCGATTGCTCCGCCGCTCCTTCGAAGTATTTTAGGGATTTGATTACGTAGTGTCGAGTTATTTCTAATTCCTAGTGACCGCAGACAGGTTTTCTCCATAACGATCTATCCCTACCCTGGCCTTTGGAGTCGCGGTGACAGCCATCGGCTCTATAACCGATTTTATAACCGAATCCTATAATCATTTCTCGCTGATGTCGTTTTTCGTTTCACCTTTCCCAACGTAACAATAGCTGCAAAGAAAACTTCCTTTTCCCTGCCTTTTATCCAAAGAGTTTTAATTTTATTTATGCCCTCCAACTAATGGTATCCCCTTCTCCGAAACTTATGAAGAGGTGCAAGAGGTTAAATGCAGGCGCCATGGGCCGGCCACCCCCTTTAAAACGGGTTGTGTTTCCCAGCAGGAGCCCTGGGAAGGGAAGGGAAGAAAGCGGTCTTATTGAATATAATGCGAGGCTCCGGAACAGAACGGGGGGGGGGTTAAAGCCGCGTGAATTTCTTTCTCCCTTTTCCCTGCGCAGGCCTTGACGCCGAGGTCACCAGGGGCCGCTCTCAGCCTGCTGGCTGCTGCCCGGCTGCAGTACTTTCCTCCGATCTTTGCCGCGGCTTCCCCTTCCGGCCAGCAGAGGTTGCGGGATGGCGGCCGGAGCGAGCGGGGAGCAGAGCAGCACCAGGGAGAAGCTGCTGGCTGCCTTGGACGATCTGGAGTTGCTGGCCAGGTAGGCGCTGCTGGACGTCGCGTCGTGGATCTCTTCGGCTCCGCCGCGGAACTTGGCGCTGGCTGTGGAAGAGCCTAAACGGGAATTCCTCTTCTTGTGTTCAGGGCTCCTATCCTCGGCCAAAGGGATGGTTTAAAAAGCGGGACTTGGGGCGTCTTGACGTGAATACAACGTTATTGGACGGCTAATAAGTACCCAATTTCAAATTATTGATTTCTAGGTTCATTGAGAAGGAACTATTTATTTATATCTCGCCTTTATTACTTTTACAAATAACTCAAGGCGGCGAACACACCTTCCTCCTCCTATTTTTTCTCCCGACGACAACCCTATGAGGTGGATTGGGCTGACAAGGGAGAATGACTCGCCTAAAGTCTCCCAGTTGACTTTCATGGCTAAGGCATGACTTCAACTCACTTGCTTTCTAACCTGGTGCATTTGCCAATAGCCCAAACTGGCTAGTGGTTAACCATAAAGTGGACTTTTCTATTTCCCTGCAAAACGGTTGTGGAGGGCTGGCAGACTTGCAGGAACAAACTTGAGAAGCAAGTGTGCTCAAGATATGTGAGACAGGATATAACTCTTGTTCTTTTTGTGAATCTGGCTTTTGTGTGAAAATTGTTCTTCAAACATTTTACATGTTCAGGTCTGTGGGGTGCAAAACTTACTTTTCTGAATTGAATGTAGATTTATTTTGATTCACCTCTGAGCAGAATTTTAAAAAATTCCTTTACATTGCAAATGCGACTTCACCTGACGATCCATAGTCACTAGCAATTGATGATTAGAAAAAAAATTACCCACAATGGCCCAACTGGTGCCATCACAGACAGGATGTCCACCTTAAACACCATGCCCTTTCTAGCTCAATTTCACTATATATATATAAATAAACTAAAATCCCTATCCATTGTTATATTTTTACTATAAGACCACCTAAATTCTTTTAATTTGTTTACTAACTGCATTTATTTATCATTTTTATAACAATTAATTCTGTCAAATATCAAATCTAACTGGATTTACCCTGATTAGCTGAAACAACAGGGGAATAGCATTTAATATGAAAGGAAGACTTAATTTATTTGCTTTGGAGGAATGGGTAATACACTAAAACTCTCCTTTTTGCCCACAACTTATACTGTTTTGCTTTAGAGAACTGATTGAAGTTTTGGCAATTTCAAGAAATCAGAAGCTAGCACAACCTGGGGAAGAGAGCCAGGTAAAGAGTTTTAAAATCTTATAAAACTATAGAAAAAATATTGTGTTAATTAACTACAGGTTGACCAGCCTGAAAAGTAAAGTAGTATGTCTGTTTTCTACTTTTATTTATGCTATTACATAAATAAATTTATGCTTTTTTTCATCTAGGCTCTGAGATCTATAACTACAGCTATTAGAAAATCTAGATAGCTACTACAATATTTGATTTTATTGGAAATTCTGAAATTGACAAGAGTTACATTTTCCTGTTATATAATTATTTATTGCACAGATCCTGGAATTGTTAATTCATCGGGATAAAGAGTTCCAAGAATTGATGAAACTAGCTCTTGATCAAGGGAAAATCCACCATGAAATGCAGGTATTGGAAAAAGTTGTAGAGAAAAGAGACAATGATATTCAGCAGCTTCAAAAACAACTGAAAGAAGCAGAGCATATTCTGGTGAGTGAAGTGCTCGATATCTTTTGATGTTTGTGCCTATTAAATCATGCATACAGAAAGTTGGTATAGTTTATTAGTATTAAATGTTCTAGTAATAGGCTAGTTTATTTTTAATATCTTTAATACTTTCCTTTGGTTGCTATGTTACTGCAAGCCAAAGTTGTCTATGCTTTCTTGAAATCTGTTTTCTTTCTCTGTGCTAGTCTGCAGGTTTTTTTCTTGAAATTTGGATGTGCTAGCTGGTAACCATGTGAATATTTTAGATGAATCCTACAGCATGTTACTAAAAAAAGATAGCTCCTCAAGCCTGAGACCCCTGGTTATCAAATTGTCTAAATTTATACAGTATGTGGAACTGTAATAAAGGAAGAGGTTGAAGTGTACAATTCTTTAGACCAAAACCATATTTTGGCTAGCATGCTGTAGAAAAATCAATCAATTTAGTTTTTTCTTTAGCATTTTATATGAAGCCAGCCAGTTCTCATTTAATTAATAGCCCATTGCAGCTGATTGCAGTTCGGCAGTTCAAATCTCAAGTTTTGACTTAGCCTTCCATCCTTCCGAGGTCGGTAAAATGAGGACCCAGATTGTTGGTAGCAATAGGCTGACTCTGTAAACCACTTAGAGAGGGCTGTAAAAGCACTATGAAGCAGTATATCAGTCTAAGTGCTATTGCTATTGCTATAACAATACATAGTATTTTACATATAGGCTACAGCTGTTTATCAAGCAAAAGAAAAACTGAAATCAATAGAAAAGGCAAGAAAAGGTAAGTGTTTTTAATTATTTCTTTTTAAGTCTGTTACTGCAACCATAAGTTGAACATTGCATGTCACATGAAATTTATAAACATTTGTTTCAATCATAATTTATTTTCATCAATAATTACCCTATATTTTTTTTAAAATTCATGGTACATTTAAAAAACAAGACAATTCAGTGTATCATTTATTCTTGTTCACCTAAAGGCATTTTCGGTCATTTGCACCTTGATAAAGCTGTGACCAAAACAAATTAAATAAAATCTTGCAATCTTCTATGAGATCTTTGAGTTCATCAATAGCTTCCTGCTGGATCAATTATTTAGAAGAGGATTGAGGTGAAACTAAACAGAGCAATTGAACAACACACATATTCCTGGTTTAATTTCTCTAGCTTTGTAAGGACAGTTTTTGGTGCTTCACAGGATGCTAGATAAAATTATGAGGGGGAAACAATGGCTTTCTGGAGATTCAGAAATTGCAACTCCCAGCATTGTTTACATTAGAGCAACAGGGAATTGTAATTTATGTAGAATTATAGAGCAGAACAGAAAGTAAAACTACTGGAATGTCTCTGTTGTCTGTAGTATATTCATGAATCAGCAGGGAGGAATGTTCTGAATGTTTGGCTTTTATTGCATCATTTTTGCACAAGAATTTAATTTGAAGAGGAATCATTTTCATTTGGGTATTTTAAAGTGTTTCTCATGAGAACCATCATACCATACGAAAATGTAGCACCTTACAAGATAAATTTCCATTATAGAAGAGAGGTTGAAATGCACATAGAGCTGCCCAAAAAGAAAGAAAGGGCTCGGGAAAACAAAAGGAAATGATCATTTTATAATCTTAGTGCTTCAACATTTTTTTACTTGAAAGGATTAATAGTGAATTTTATGTTACAGAATGGATAGCTGCATGCATTCATTGTATCTACATTTCTTACAGGTGCTATTTCGTCTGAAGAAATAATTAAATATGCTCATAGAATTAGTGCCAGCAATGCTGTTTGTGCTCCTCTAACTTGGGTGCCAGGTAAATGATAAATATGTCTATATATCATTTTATTTTTACTGACAATAGGTATTCACATATATAAACAAATATGTTTATATATACTACTACTTGATAAATTTGTTGACAGGTAATGCAAAATACATATTTTCTAACACGGGAGATTTATGTAGTGCTTTGTATTATTAAAGTGAAATAAGCTTTGGAGCACATGTATATGAATGTAACATGCAATTCCTTGAAACTGTCTTCTAGAATTAAGCTATAGCTTTAGAGGCAGCCTTAGAAAATGTGCAGCTGCTTTAAGGAGTTACCTTTGAGTGCTGAATCTTTTTCCTTTGACTCTGAATTTTTGACTACTGAATGCATGCATGCTTTGTGCTACCAAGTGAGCAACTGTTAACTTATCTAAGATTTTTTTTATGAAGAGTATGTCAGGGAAAATAAATTATTTGTTCATTCATGCTATTTTAAAAGCTGGCCATTCATGAATGATTTCAGGAGGTTTACAGAAGGTTAAAACAAAGTAATAGGTAAATGAAAGCAATAGTAAAACTGATCATTAAAGAAAACCACTATTATATATTTCACTTATATTTGCTTATTCAGAATTGCAAACAAAATCATTATTTTTAAGGGGATCCTCGAAGACCATATCCAACTGATTTGGAGATGAGGAGTGGTCTTTTGGGTCAGATGAACAATCCTTCAGCAAATGGAGTTAATGGACACTTACCAGGAGATGCACTTGCAGCCGGCAGATTGCCAGGTAATAGAAATTTAAGAGAAATGAGTCTGTTGTCAAGTGTGTTCATATGCACACTTTATGTATATAAAATGCATATATACATATGGATATGCAGCGTGGAACCTTAGGCATGACAAATGTTGTAAATCTCAGAAGTTAATGAAATTAGGAAAATAAAGAAAAGTCCCTTGAAATAAACTAAGAATTTATTTAAAATAAAGATTGAAATATATTCAGAGATTAAAAATGAAAATATTAAAAGCATTTACTTACCACTGTAGTGAAATGTGTGTACAGTATTCGCACAAGCTTGAGTAAAAGAATTGTTTTAAAAAGATTTAGAATTTTATCAGGAGATTATTTCTAACTTTTAAATCAAAGCTGGTCTGTAATGGAAAAACAAGTGACTTCAGCTATTTTAGCACTTAGCAGCATTATATACTGCCCCATAGTTCTTTACAGCATTCTCTGGATGGTTTACAATGTCAGCATATTGCCCCCAACTATCTGGGTCCTCATTTTACCAACCTCGGAAGGATGGAAGATCGAGTCAACCTCCAGGTTGATCAGGACCAAACTACAGGCTGTGGGCAGAATTTGTCTGCAATACTGTGTTCTAACATTGTACCACCAGGGCTCTGTTTTTTTTTTGGGGGGGGGGGGAATATCAGCATCACCTTACCACTGAAGTTGAAATCTAGGGAGGGAATAAGGTTGCCTTCTTTTTCTGTAAGATGATTTTCTGGTGAAATTGTATAAATTGCTAATTTTAGAGGAAAGAAGACTTCTGAGTGAAGAATTTAATCCTGTGATTTTTTTAAATGGAAAAAATACAATTTTACTAATGGTGAGAAGAGTTGAATTTCTAAAGAAGACAAGATTCTGGTAGTAATAGCCTAAGAAATAAATTAGACAAAAATAAAAGGGTGGATAGGTGTCTTGAAAAATAGTAGAAAAAAGAGGTACATGCTAAACCAGAAATTTCTCAGGTTGATAGAAGTGAGAGAGAAAAGCAAATTAGCTTATTGACCAATTAAAATAAATGGGAGATAGCATAAAAATACCTGCTTTTATTTGCTGTCTTGTTCATTGTGAGAGCTTTAAGTTCTTCTAAAACTCAGGTTGGCAGCACATTGCTTGCAAATGCCAATGACTTCTTGTAGAATCACTAATATTCCCTCAAAGTATCTACATCCTTTAACATCAGCAAATCATTTCACCATTACCTGCACCTTGACATTCAGTATGCTATCTTGGCTCAAGGTAGTAGAGGATAACACATATGCTGCAGGAGAACCCATTGTGGCTGTTGATATGCTTGTTGGGAAGCTTTATGAGCTGCCTGGCAGAAAATAAAATTATGGTCAATGGTTTATACTTCCTTGCACATGAGGAATACATATCAGTTGCATTTATTATGGGGCAAATTTGTTTTACTCTTGGAAATTGAGTTTTGGTGCCTGGAGAAGGTTATTTGATTTACCGTATATACTCGAGTATAGGCCGACCCGAATATAAG